CAACTTTAACATCCTAACAGAGGACAGTCTAAAAAAAATGGAGACTGAAGTATTGATTACGTAAGAGATCACCATGCACAAATTCCAGTGTCAATGATTAAAGTAAAGCACTGATTCTAACAGAACAAAAGTGACAAAAGGTACTGTATTTAAAAACAATAACGTACATAAAGAATCAGTCGTAGATGGCAAAGGGTGAAGGAAGTTACGAAGACAATGCAAAATATACAATGGACACTTACAACAGCAGCAATGTCACGACGAGCAGTCTTTCGAACTTGCACTCCTGTTTTAGCAAGCCTCTCCAACTCTTCAATCTGGAGACCTAATATTGATTTAAGTCACCTTAGAGACTAAAGACAACACTTCATTTTTTTTTTCCAGCTTGCTTAACAATGATTAAATATTCCATGATAGCATTGATGTCAGGTTGACTATGATGAAACATTCGGTTCAATTATGAGCATGAAAAGACATCAAAAGGACATCTAAAAAAAATATCAACGGACTATATTTAAATGCAAAGTCATTATGGACAAGAGTAAGAGTAAAACATATATACAAATGATTGGAAAATAAGCACCTATACGCAAAATTCCATCCAATATAGCAATGGTTGCAGGAATCGCTCCATTGTCTCTCACGATTGCTTCAATTTCCTTTGCAGTTTTAAAATTTTGAGGGTAGGGCATTCCTAATATCATCATGAACAAACCACAATCAGCAATGGTATCATATATTCATATATTGGCAAATAGAACTCAACAATACAAAATTGCCTTTATTTCATTCTATCCATCAATAAATTAAGTCGCTCACTTCATTGGAGTGTAGCTTACGGACGGGCACAAAAGGCCATTTGCAAATCCAAGTACACAAACACTAAGAAAAAACTATAAATTAACCAGGCCCGACCCTAAACTCACACCCCACCCATAGTTCTTGTTCAATACCCGAATTACTTAGCTACATTAGTCACCGGCTGCACGATAGCCCAAAAAGACCCTTAGTTCAGCCAATTAACCAGCTAAATCCAGATGTCTAAAATTCAAAGAACAATTGGAAAACCATGATCAATTTTACTTTCGATTACCCAAATTGCCTTTCAATTGAACAAGCCATAGTTTCAACAGCAATTCAATATCTTCCTAACTAGTAACAATAATTTCACTTTCAATTTATAACAACAAATACAAATTAAGAATTGAACAAAAGGGATTTTCAGTAGATCATACAACTTACAACAACAATATCAAAGCCTTAATCCCGAGAAGACGGGCCGATAACCAATGATACATGACATACCATGACAAATAATAGTTGATTCCAATGCAACAACAGCTGCTCCACGAGATAGAGCATCAGAAACTTCTGGGCTAATTTTGATCAATCCACCCTACAAATTTTGATTAACTTATAAATGCAATTGAAATTTCCTTCATTCATTCAATTGATATTAAGAACATAAAAGAATTGAAAAACCCCATAAAAATAAATATAGAAAAAAATGGCGGGAAAAACCTTGGGAAGATGAGAGGTTGAAGAAGCAGCAGCAGGTTGAGGATAAAGGTGTCTTGTAATATTAGAGAGTCTGGAAATTGCTGCTGAATCCATTGTTGTGGAACTTCAAATGATTGCGATGCGGTGATTGATTGGTGGTCGGCGGCGGTGATGACGGCGAGGAGAGAGAAAATGGGGCAGGAGTTGTTTAGTAGGAGATGAACTGGTGATTAGCATCAAGGGGTTTTAGGGTTGATTCGGCGGCAAAATGCTTCTAAATCTTTGAAGCTAATTGTAATAGAATGTTACGAGTAATAGTTAGTACGGAGTACTGACAAAATCGAATTGGAAAATTGGAAATTAATAATCTCATCTTTGCTCCATGCAAAAACAATTAGAGTGTACGGTGCAAAATGCACGGGAAATATATTATATTAGAAAGATTTTAATTATTACTTATATAATATAAGAAAAAATATATTTTAATTATGGGAAGTGATTTAGATGTAGTAACTTAGAACCGAACTATTTATGGTCTCTAAGCCCTGCTCTACTTTACGGTCACCTGCTCTACTCTTTTGCAATATTCTGCTGATCATAAAATCAAAAGAACAAAACCTTACTCTTATATGTGGGTGGCCACGCAAATGTGTCAAGTTATTACGGGGGCTACTTTGTCAAAGCTATAGAGGTTACTCGGTTAATGTCATATGGGTTATTTTCTTTTGCAAGCAACTATTCGATGGGGACAGTTATGCAAAAAGCGTGTTGTACATATTTTTGTTTTGATGATTAGAGAAGTGGAAGTTGTTTGAATTGAAGGGTTGGGGATTTTGAGTTCTATGGTGAATTGTTGATAAAAGTAATTGTATATCCGTGTAGCCGTGCTAATACACGACATATGTTATACACGAAAGAAAATAACACAAAGTGAAATGTTAGTAGTGTTTAAGAAAAAATGAATTGTTATTAGTTATTGCAATCCGTTGAAAAATGCAAAAAAAAAAAAAAAAAAAAAAAAAAAAAAAAAAGTTGGTTGGGTAGTTATTGATACTTTTTTTTTGGTTTTTAGTGGAATGGTAGTTACCGATTTTAAAAAAAAAAAAAAAAACTAAATGCTTTTTTTTAGTGGTTAAAAAAAAATAAAATAAAATAAAATAAAAAACCTAAATGCATGAGATTTGGGGATTTGGAGGGTTGTGGTGAAAACGACTCTGTGATTATAATATAGATTCCACCTAAAACAACCTCGCCTTTCACCCTAATCTTCTTGTAACAATCTCCGACCGTTTGGATAGTTTTGGTAATAGGTTTTCTTAGGTTTATAAATATATTGCCACGTGTTGAAATTTTAATAAATTTATTCTTTTTTTTAATAATTAAAAAACCAAAACCCCCAACCTAGACCCCGCCATTGCCTTCCCTCCCCATCCTTGCCCTTGCTTTCCTTGGAAACCCAACCCTACCCCTCTAAGATATCGAAACCCCACCCAGCCACTGAAACCCCAATAGCAACCCCCCAAAACACTGGTAAGTTACTTCTGTTTCTTCACCGACATAGTTCTAGAGAATAAGGAAGCTTTTGCGGTGGGGGTTTTGGTGGCCGGTGTCTGGTTTGTGATAGAGATTTTGAGTGAAGGAACAGTGTTCGATTCAGGTTGGATTGGGGGCTCTGGTTTTGTTGATATAAGTTTGGTGGTGTCGGAGCTCAATCATGTTAATTTTATTGCCAATTTCGACCTCAATTTGGATGCTTAATAACTTAACCAACCCCTAAAACTTTAATGAAACCCTTTTTCGGCACACAAAACGAGAAAAAAATAGCTAGCCACTAACAGAATTACTTAATGTTAGGTTAACAGCAAAGGCATGGTGTGTTAAAAAATTGTGAATGACAAGTATTATACTACCATGTGTAATATAGATAAAACATTAGGCACAAATTGAAAAAATCAATTACACAAGAATACTATGTAGAAAAACCTAATTAATTTTTATACGTATAAATAACAACCATTCAACATCTATTTTATCGAATACTTATGTTTTGATTTGTTATCTTCGTAGAATAATATTCATTAAAAGTCTATAAGAGTAATGTCAATCACAAATTCTTATACTTCGTGTGGTCGGCCACACCGTATCAGGGGCGAATCCAACTGAACCTCGTAAGATCCAGGAAATAAAAGTCTGGTTCGTGTTTGATGAAGTACCCATTTGTAGTGAACGAATCTTCTATATTTATTGAGTTTTTTAGGTTTAATTTAAGGCTTAAAGTTTCAAGTTCCATTAATGGGGAAAACGAAGAAACTAGTGTACGTGTAAAAGGAAGAAGAAGTAAATTGCGGTTGACAATACATCACAACCTTTTTTTTTTAAAGATGGTGGACCCTTCTTTTTCTAGTTTTTCTCTATTTTATTATTTTTTTATATACTTTATTAGTGCTTACTGTCTAGTATATATAAACTACTGTATAGTAAGTAGTGTACAACTGTGTATTTTTCTTTTTTATAAAAACATTAAAAACTTTAGTTCCTATTGAGAAAAAGATACGCATGGGTAATGGTAGAGTCCAAAGAAAGTAAATACTGTGATAAATTTAAAATTATATATATAAAAAAAAGAAAATTTCAATTTTAAAAAAATCGGGAACTCTACATACATACGTCCTAGGAACTCTTTAGCCTACGTTCCGCGTTTCCGTATCACGTTTCCAAACGTCCCACGTACCGTGTAATGTTGATATCGGATCATTTTATTTTGCACTTTTATTGAAACTTGGACTTATTTTGTTCTGTACTTGTGTATTGGTATTTATTTGAACACTCTATTTTATACTCTGTCCAAGAAAGAACGACTTATTTGGCCTAATCTTTGTCCCAAAAAGAATGACCCATTAGCAATAAAATACCCGAGGAACTATAAATCAAGGGTGAAAAAGGTGGTGTAGGCTCAACTAAAACTTTTCAGACATGTATCACGTGTAAAAACGAACAAAAAATTTTGGGGACCGCTACCACTGAGGTTATATTTTGTTCCACTAGCTTTTTGAAGTACCGCTGAGACTATATGTTATACCACTGAGAGTATATTTTGTACCACATAAACTCCAGTGATAATATTTGATAACTCAATGAGATAACTTTAAACTGACGCCTGAAATACCTATATTACCCTTGTGAGACATGACTTTATTGTCTCTCAACCCTCCGTTTATATAACCTCAAAATACCCACCAATTTGCAACAATATTTGTGCAAAATTAGCTTCCTCATATAAAATTTTATTTTTTCATATACTTTTATTACTATCTCTCTCAACTTTTTTGTAAACCTCATATAAATTTAACTTTTTAATATAATTTTACTTCTTTTTATTTAACTTTATTAATACCCGCAAAATTAACCCACAAAGATTGTTCTTTCGGGAACGAAGGAAGTACTTGAAAAAAATAATGAATTTGACTCACAAGTCACAACAATCACAATATAAAGATTATATAAACCCATATAATTAGAGATTAAATAAAAATATTAAAACCCCCAAAGAAAATAAACCGGATAAGGTCCTCATTCAGTGAGTAGGATTTCATGGCAGCAACAAAACTGTCATTCCCTCCAATTCCAGCTTACACCATAAAAAATCAAAGAAACCCATCCTTTTTTCAATCAATTACTCCTATTTCTTCGATACCCACAAATTATTATTACAAATGCTGTTATTCGAAGCACAATTTCTCCATAAAATCATCTCCAATCGTAAGTGTTGTGAAACAAGATGTTGCTAAATCATCCGATTCAGAGACATCCAATTACCCTTCAGCTTCAACTTCTAAGTTGGTTCTTGTTGTTGGTGGCACTGGTGGTGTTGGTAATTTTTTTACTTAATCTTCATTTATAAAGTTTATGAATGTATTTGTTTTTTTCTTTTTTTTTTGGTGGGGTTTAGGGTTGATTTTGCCATGATTAGATTGTTGGTTTTATATTTTATCACGTATAAATTGTACGAAATATTTCCTAATAAACAAATGAGCGTTTATTAGATTTTAGTTCGATACCCTAGTGAGAGTTAGGTACACCCGGATGTATACTAGACTCCCTAACTACACCTATAATTGAAGTATGTTATGTAATGAATTTCAGGAGAACCTGTGTGTCCATATGATGCCCCCATGACAGGAACCCTTAGGATTCAAAGGGTTAATATCATTTTTCATGTATTCCACAAGTTTATTGTAATTTGGTACATTAATATATATATGTTTACATCTTGGAATGACATGAGATAAAAAGTTTTGGTCTTGTAATGAAGTGTAATGATTGAAGGGGCGAATTGGATGTTAATTAGCTTAGTTGGTTGTACTCCTAGGGTGGTACCTAAGACTAGCAATTCAATTCCGTTACCCTTTGTAGGCTTGTAGCTATCTCGTTACTTTGCCTGGTTGGTTATAGTCTAGGGTTGGTGCCTAAGACTAGGAATATAATTCTGTCTACATCATTTACCGGCTATCTCTACAACAAAGAAATGTTAGGTGTGAATTTGAAAGGACATACACCTATGATGTAGAGCCTGTTCTTATTGAGTTATTGAACTGAACTTATTAGAGTTTAACTGAACTGAACTGAACTTATTAGAGCTGAATTGAACTGAACTGAACTGAACTTATTAGAGCTGAATTGAACTGAACTGAACTGAACTTATTAGAGCTGAATTGAACTGAACTGAATATTTTATAGGAGAAGAAAATTAGGAGCTGAACTAACTAAACTGAACTTATTAGAGCTGAGCTGAGCTGAGCTGAGCTGAGCTGAATATTTTATACGAGAAGAAAATTAGGAGATGAACTTAACTAAACTGAACTTATTAGAGGTGAGCGGAACTGTACTTATTAGAGCCGAGCTGAAAATAATCGTATCAAAACAGGCCCGTACTCTTTGTAGTCACTTGAGAGTAGCAACTGCGGAGAAAATTAGGAGATGAACTTAACTAAACTGAACTTATTAGAGGTGAGCGGAACTGTACTTATTAGAGCCGAGCTGAAAATAATCGTATCAAAACAGGCCCGTACTCTTTGTAGTCACTTGAGAGTAGCAACTGCGGAGTTTGTATGGCCTCACTAAGAAACCCGAGGTTTTCATGTTGAACTGACCTTGTTGATCTTCTACTCGTAGCTACTTTACATATTGGGTGGTTAGAAGCTAAGGTCAGGTTAAGGGCCTTAAGGCTCACACTTGGAAGTAGAGAATGTAAAAATAATTGGAATATTTGCTCATTTGCCTTGGGAAATGAGGGTAATGGTTTTATATTTGCTACACCTGGACAATGCGTTACCTTACCTTCCCCAGAGAAGAAGGACCTTGCTGAATAACTGTTGAATATGTAGAGATTATTAGATACGCAGTATTTATACAATATAGTTCCTTGTGATTATGGTTGTTGTCATAACATTTCATCTATGAGACTAAACCGTTCGTTTTGTTGTTTCTTTTCAGGGCAGATTGTAGTGGCATCATTGCTCGATCGCGATATCAAAGTACGTCTCTTATTACGAGATCCTGAAAAGGCAACCAAATTGTTTGGTGAACAAGATGAAGAGAAATTACAGGTAATAATTTTAATATGCTAACATGTTTATCTTGTTGTGAAATAGATTTTAGTTTTTCATAGTGTCTGAATTCATTTATTTTCCTGTGGAGATTAAAGTTTATATTGAAGGAGATTTTAGAACTCTGACAGGTGTGTAAGGGGGACACAAGGAACCAAGAGGATCTTGATCCATCAATTCTCGAGGTCTGTCCTAATGAAAACAGTGACTGAATTCAATCTAGTTTACAATGCTGATTAAACCAGTAGACTGATAATATTGGTTAATTCTGGACAAAATTTTCCATTTAGGGTGTCACACATGTTATATGCTGCACAGGGACAACAGCTTTTCCTTCACGAAGATGGGATGGAGATAATACACCCGAGAGAGTTGGTATGTTGCCTCTTTAATCCTGTCATGCTGACCACTTGCTAGAAAGTCATAAAATGTAACACTGGAAGGTTGCTACAGCTAGAATTCAGCCCTAGTATATAGTCCCTCTGTTTGGAAATTGTCGGATGTTAAAAATAAGAAGATTGCCACCCTTCCTAGAAAGAGTATGGTGTATGACTGGATTTCCTTAATATGTCCTTAGATTTAAGTGGTGGGACGATGATAGGGCTATCTTTCTTTTTTTTTTTTTTTTTTTTTTTTTTGAGACAGTATGACAATTTTCCGGACAGAGGGATTACGACTTAGATTATGTGGCAACCTATACATTGTGCATGTTTTTGGTACAAATGTCTGATATTTGTGCTGATGACTGATAACTTTTGTATACTGTTCCGAAGATTGGGATGGAGTAAGAAACCTCATATCAATACTGCCCTCGACTCTGAAAAGATTTGTTCTTGTTTCATCAGTTGGAGTGACCAAGTCCAATAAACTACCATGGAGGTATGACTTCTTCATATATACATAATTTGAGAATTGATGACTGATTTGATCAAACTTTTAATTAGTACAGAGTATGTTGTTAACATCTTTTCTCATGTTCATCCTGCAGCATCATGAATCTTTTTGGTGTTCTGAAGTACAAAAAGATGGGAGAGGATTTTCTTCGTGACTCTGGCATTCCTTATACTATAATCAGGTTTGAGTTGTGAATCTTTGATTAATTTGTTAGAATTTGATAGTTTTGGTATGTGGTATTTCACGGAGGATAATCAAGGATAATAGAGAATACACATACTGACAAACAGCACAATTTGTATGAACATTATTAGATCATCATAAACATAATATTGATCTTCACATTCTAATATAGTGTAACCTGGCTGTAGTTTATAAATTTCTCACTGAAGTTGTTTTTGCCACAGACCCGGGAGGTTAACTGATGGCCCGTATACCTCATATGATCTCAATACTCTACTCAAAGCTACAGCGGGTGAGCGCCGTGCTGTCCTCATAGACCAAGGTATGCTAAGGTGCCAACTTTGAGGCCTTAAGTAACTGTAACAAGGGTAAATCTGTTAATGATATCTGGGATTGTGACTAGGGGATAAGCTTGTTGGAGAAGCAAGCAGACTTGTAGTTGCCGAGGCTTGTATACAATCACTGGATATTGATTTCACAGAAGGGGAGATTTTTGAAATTAATTCTGTTCAGGTACTAAAATTATTTAGCCTTCATTATCATTTTTCATAGATGATTTATATTGTCGTCGTGCATTTTTTTTACACGATAATGTATATACTAACAAGTTAGGCTTATCATCAAGGGTGCTATGATCGTTTCATACGGTGTTAGTTATAGTTATACAACTAATCCGTATATTTTTTTCACCTGTCTTGACTCTTTTTCCACCTGGAGCTCAAGATTGTTTCATATTTTTGGTTTTGGGTGTTGTATTCTGTAGGGAGATGGACCAGGGAGTGATCCACAGAAGTGGAAAGAGCTGTTTGACGCTGCTCGAACGAAATAACAAGGCCTGCTTAACTTGCAAGGCTGGTATTCTAATTCAATTCCTGTGCTGAATTACCTTCTGTTTCCCTATACTGTTATGCTGTATAGTTACTAGATCACGTTCATGCATTTTTATAGTGAGAAAATGCAAATTTGGGAGGATGAAAAGTAAGGAATGATTCTTTCCTAACACTTCTTTTCCTTTCCTTTCCTCTGCTTCCATTATAAAGCAAACATAAGAAAGTTATTCAATTCCTTTTTAATGATTCCATCCATTTATTGCTACCAAGTAAAGGCTTCCAAAACTTGAATTATGAACACATTTTGTGGATTCTGGAGAAGATAAGCGGAATTATATATAATCCAGAACAATCGCGAGCGGGCATGGCCCAAACATGTGCACACGTAGCGTACGTACTAAAGGAATACCTCTAGTTTTAATCAAGGCTTGCAAGGGGCGTGATAAGTATAGAATATGTAAAGGTCTTTTATTTTGTCTATGTGGGACATTTGGTTATTTTGAAGTGACACTATACTTGAAGTTTGATTAAGATATGTTACTATTGTGGAAGACCAAAACTTCGACAATTGTCTCAAACACATATTGACCTTGTTATTGCGGATTGTAAGTATGTTAATACGTAAAAATCCTTTAATGGCAATATGGCTTGTTGCGTCCACAGCCCACCAAAGTACCAAAGTCCTACACATACCGGCTCCAACTGAGGTTTGAGGCCAAGGCTTCGCAAAATTTGGAAATTACATCCGTGTACTATCCTTATTTTCTATAATTGGGAAAAAAAAACGGAGAATGGTAATAATAATAGGTGAATTTGAGTTATAGCGTGCTAAATTTGACTATGTTTACTACCAATGTGAGTTTTGAGGTAACTTGAAAAAATGATTGGTTAGAATTCTTGGAAATATGATTACCTTATTTCATTTAATTTGAAATTTGACATCAACACACAGTGTATTACATAACTGGACCCAAATAGTCAAACAAATTAAAATAACTATCAAGATGAATTGTAATTTGAACTAATTTAGCTTGAAAAAAATCCAATCGATCGAATATCCACCCAGTTCTAAATGATATGTAGCCTATTCTCGTCCACTATCAAAATTATCTACCTACTTGATTACTACAATACTACACGGACTTAAACTAGAATTTATGTGGCGATAGTTTCAATTATTTTATTATTTGTATCATGTACGTAACTATAAGGGCCTGTTTTGATTTACTGAGCTGAGCCGAACTGAATTGTTTATGAGAGAGAAATTAATAATTGAATTAAGCTGAACTAAACTGAACTGATTAGAGCTAAATTGGGCTAAGCTGAAATAAACTGAACTGATTAGAGCTGAATTGGGCCGAGCTGAAGAGAATAGGCTCTAAGTATATATATATTCTCATCTTGAGAAAATCCAAATACATTTTACTTATTTTCATGCGTAAATAACCCGTTAATAACATAGACATTCTACTTATATGTCTCTTACTCTCTTAAGTAGCCACCTCATCACAAAGAAAGATAAAAAACAAGTGTAGTTACTCTAATATGTTGTACCATATTCAAAAACCTAATTAAGAAGTCAACCAAACTTTCAATCTCAACCCTCCCCAAACCACAAGAACTTCAAAACACTTCATTAGATGACCACCACGTGTGATAATCCATTTAACACTAATAATTCTCTCCCCTTTGACCCCTACCTCATACTTAATTAACTTGATTGACCAAAAAAAAAACCCACTAATTTCATTAACCCTCTAAAAAAAAAAAAAAACACCCAACAAACACTCAAAGCCTAATTCTTTTTTTTTTTAAACAAATTCTTATTACGTTCACTTTTTTCCAATGAAACTAAAATGTGTAGTATATTTTTTTTAGAAAAAATAAAAATAAAAACACCAACAAAACACTCAAAGCCTAATTTTTATTATTTTACTTTTAAAAAATCAAAATTTTAAATATTAGTACATTAGAAAAAAATAAAAACCCAACAAAAATCTCAAAGCCTAAAAACTTTTATTTCACATTTTTACAATCAAAAATACAAATTAAAAATGCCGTCAAAAAATAAAAAATAAAAAATAAAATCAAAAAGCCTAATTTCTATTATTTCACTTTTAACATCCAAAATTAAAAAAGAAAAAAAAATAATTCCCCTGATTTATTTCAATTTTCACCACTACCAAATAAATTTTCCCTAATTATATCTCACTTTCTCTCTCCTCAAAAACACCTTTCTCTCTCTCTCTCCTCTCAAAAACCCAAATCAACCCTATCATCCTCCTCTCTTTTTACCCTTTCAACCGGAAAACCGCCTTTCTCTCTCCTCTTTTACGGCGGCGATCGTTTCTCCGATAATACTCTCCGATTTCACAGTATTTTTTTCCGTATTAAACAAGTATATAATATTTTTCCGATTTCCCAAAAAACCCAACAAAAATTAAGGACAAATTTATATAATTTTGTTTTTTTTTTGAAATAGTAGTCCCTCCTTTTTTTTTGATTTTCCGGCCAATTTTCCGACGGGTTTACTGAGAATTTGTGCGCGCGATTATTTAACCGGCGCATTATTTTCTCTCTGATTTTCATTAATACTTCAATTGGGCTTCGATTTTTGCAGGTATGGTGGATTTGATTAGTGGGTAGTGAATTGTTTTTGAATTAGGGATTGATTTAGGGTTTTTGGGGTTGGATTATGGGTCTAGATTCGATTTTTAGGGTTTGTTTGTTTAGGGAGTTTGTTAAGTGTTTAGCTCGTTTTGTTTGGAGTGTTCAGTGGCCGATCCATTGTTTGCCTATTTTAATTTGTGTGTTTGATTGAATTTGGATTTGATTGATTGTTTTGGTATTTGGGGTTTGATTTAGGTTTAGTTTATGATCAATCGGACGTTGAATTTCAGTTATTTGTGCAGTGTGCTAGATATCAACTGTATTTCTGGGTCTTTGTCTAATCATTTCAATTGCTTTAAACATGTCTGGAAGTTTGATTTAGTCATCAAAAATTTGTTTTTTTTTTGTTGCATTATTGTCTGTTTGTGTTGTCGTTGAGCTTGCTCTGCTTGCTTTCTCGGACAGTGATTATGGTTGATCACTCAAAATTAAGGAAAATACCGGTTTTATGATAGTCAAAGTCGCCACATATCGAACCAAATGCCACCATTGTGCAAAGGTTTCTCATAAAATTCAGCTCATATCCCGTGTTAGTCGACTTTGGTCTCTTCGTTCACTCGTCTTACATTAGTTTTACTGACTTTGTACTGCTGTTCTTTGGAGCTCTTACTAGCTGCTTAGTTTAGTTTGGCACATGCAATATGAGGATTTTTTTGCTTCATCTGATTGTTTTTTTTGTTCTTGTGTGTTCCTAGGAATTCGTTAGGTTAGCCGAGCTTTTGGAATTAAGCTGGTAGCTAATCTGTAGATTATAAGATTACAATTCCATGATAGAGGATGGCATTTTTTAGGGATTATTCGAGTGAGGCAGTCACCCACAGAGCCATGGAGGACAAGAATGCTAGTCGCACTGTGAATAGAGTACACAACTCGATAGACATAGATTTGAATTCAAGTGAAAATGACTTTGAAATGAAGATTGATGGACACTATCAAAGTGATGTTGAACCGGATGCTAGCAGACTACCTAATGAGGTGGCTGTCAATGGTGGTGCTGATATGGAACCATCAACTTCGCATACATATGAGAGAAGAGGTAGAGGTTCAGCTGAGAAATGGGGTTCTACTTTCTGGAAAGGCAGTCAGCCAATTGTTACTCATGATATTTCGGACTCTGGTCATGAATCTAGAAGTGGCTCTGAGTATAAAAATGATGAAGGTTCTGAAGGTAATTCGTTTGGTGGGGAAGACAGATTAGAGTTAGAGGAATATGAAGGGCAGAAGGAAGCAGAAAAGGTTCCTGCAGACGAGATGTTGTCCGATGAGTATTATGAGCAAGATGGGGATGATCAGAATGATTCATTACAATATAGAGGTTATAATGCTGCTACATCCAATTCAAGACCTCAATCAAGGACTATTATGGCAGCTAATGCAAATCCACGAAATCGTAGGAGAGCTTATGATAATGATGAATATGCAGAGGTGGAAGATGATGAAGATGATGATGAAGCAGATGGTTAGTCAATTATTTTTTTTCTATGGGTTTTCCTTATGAAAAGCATTGGTCATACCACAAATATATGTTAGGAAATCACTCCTATTACTTTTCTTCTGGCTGTTAATAGAGGGTCCAGAATTTGGAATATCGTGCTTTAGAATTTGCACTTCTTTGGCATTGAAAGTTTCTTTTCACAATTCTTGCAGAGGATGACCCTGATGATATTGATTTTGAGCCTGATGGAGTTGCTGATGACCGGACAAGGACGAAGGTTGTCTTATATAAATTTTAATGTTGAAGATTTTTTTATCTGTTTTTATTTATTGTGTTTTATACTTCAGCTTTATTAGCATGCCTTGTTAAATATTCCCGTGTGAATACCTTCAGGACGATGATTGGGAAATTGAAGATTCAGAAGTAGAGGTTGAAAGTGAAGGGGAGGTTGATGTTTCTTCCGATGATGATTCATACTATAAGAAAAAGCCTAGGGGTGGTCAGCGAGTGAAAAGTGGAGGAAATGCAAAGGCTAGCAAGGGGCAGAGATCGATCTGTGCCCCTACTCGAAGAAGAAAAGGTAGGGTATCGGACGATGAATTATCTGCTGAGGATTCTGAGGATGTTAGTGATGAGAATTTTAGGACAAGGAGAGGTGCTAATCTCCGCAAAAATAGCAACTTGGGACGAAAAAATGAGGCACGCACTTCCAGCAGGTCAACTCGCAAGGTTTCATATGCTGAAAGTGAGGAAAGTGAAGAAGTTGATGAAGGGAAAAATAAGAAGTCTCAGAAGGTTTGTGATCCTCATACTCAAGTCTTATATTGCTGCATAATTGTGCATTGGCCTCTTCATTGCAGTAAGATGGGCTAAGGTACCTTTTGTCTTTTCTCTTTTCTAACTAAAAAATGACATGGTCACTATTTGCCTTTTGAACTCAAACCTTTCATAATCCAATTGAATGTTGATTGTCCTTGTGATTCCAATAATTATATTCGCTATACTATGTATCAGTTTATTATGTGCCTAAACCTATCACGTCAAGCTTTGTTGGTACCTAGGTCTAGAATCTATGATTAAGTGTAATGGACTCCATTTTGATGGTGCTATTCAATTGGTTGACTTATCTCTGAATTGATGACTTGCTTCTCTGAAAGTTTTGAACAAAATGTTTTTTTTTTTAATTGCTACTTCAACCCTCTGTTTATTTTTACTTGAAGGGTGTATTGGACTTGTATTTTTTAAGGGTGTATTGGACTTGTATTGTTCCTTTATTAATACATTTTTCCTTACAGGAGGACAATGACGAAGAGGATGCTGATGCAATTGAAAGGGTTTTATTTCATCAGCCAAAGGGAATGGCTGAGGAAGCTATGAGAGCCAACAAATCTACTCAGCCTGTATTGCTAGGCCACTCTTATGATACCGAATTAGATTGGAATGAAATGGAATTTTTAATTAAATGGAAAGGGCAATCTCATCTACACTGTCTGTGGAAACCATTAGCTGAGCTGCAAAATGTAAGTCTGCATTTATCTGATTTGCCTGGTCATTTCTGTGCTGTCCTGAATAGGAATTATTTCTAGTCATACTGAATGCTATCCTTAAATTCATTGTGGTCCTTTTCTCCTGTCTGTTCTTTTGATTTTATTCTCTTTTTCTTCTCTTTATTGTCTTCAGCTCAGTGGTTTCAAGAAGGTTTTGAACTACATGAAAAAGGTTGCAGAGGATGTAAGATTTCGGATGTCTGTATCCCGTGAAGAAGTGAGTTTCTTTATATATCCTACTTCTTTAAAAATAAGAAAGTTCAGATTTAGGTCTTCCCAGAGAATTTGCTGGTTGGAGGTCTGGGGTTGCAGGAATATTGAGTACTATTTAGTTTCTGTTTGATTTGTACTCCTTTTATTATGTGATTTATTGTAAATTACTGTCAGTTTCCCCTTGCCTTTGTATGTATCGTTTATGTGGTGGAGCTATGGGCTGTAGTTGGAATTTGCCTCTGTTTTTTTGGTGGAAGCCATTGCTGGAACAATTTATCACACCTAGTATTCCACAATGTATAATGTCTCAAACAGTGTTAGAATACTTGCATATGTGCATGTTTTTGATTTTTTTCTTGCTCCAGCCTTTTCCATTGACTTTTAGTGTCATTACTTTTGCTTTTTTTGGATATGCTGACATGCTTTGGCGCCCAAAGTTTGACTTTAGGATTTATGTATTAACTTAGTAAAAAGGCCGCTATGACCCTTCCTTGATTACTCTTACTACAATTGGTATAACATAAAACCATGCATGATCTGTAACCCTAACAGCCTTGATCATATGAAAGTTAAACAGGAATTGAAAATTGTTTTTTGCAAAACACAGGTACTATGTATACTTGCATATATAGTGTCAGTAATTCTGCCTGAATGTGCAGCTTTATGATTAATTCTTTGCATATCAACTTATGTTATCTCCGTAATTTGTTTTCATATATTAAGCTGCGTTCTTAGCTGTTAAGTGCAAGGCTTTGATAAGAAATTTTAATTGTCTTTGTTTTTGCCAATTGATTTCACAGTTCAGCATGACATAAAAGTTACAGAGTAATAATATCAAAAGATAAGGACAGAAATACTTCCTCTGATTTTTAGACGCATCACTTTCTAAATAAAGAAATTTCAAATTAGATGCATCACTTTCCTCTTTAGTTAATAAATTCTCTCTATTTCTCTCACATCACATGGGTCCTCCTTTTACTTTCTCTCTATCTCTCTCATCTCCAAAATCTGCCTAGGAGTCTGTATTTTATAAAATGATACGTCTAAAAAAATCTGAGGAAGTAGCAGTAACTTGATGTAGTAATATGACTAATATCATGCCCACAACTGTCAGATCTATGCCTTTAGGAGTGTGGACCATTGTACTAATAATTACTTATGATTCTCGTAAAATTAACAATAATTGCTTATGTACCTTTTGCTTATGTGTCTTCTCCCTTCCGTGTCATTTGGGTTCAAAAGTTGCTTCAAAATAGCCTCCCAAGTCCCAATGTAAAAAATAAAATAAAATGACCGTCTAATTTGCATCGATCCCTCCAATATTACTCACATGAAGGGATGACAATGGGTCTCGGAGCGGATTATGCTAAAACCGAATTCGACCCTACATGAAGTCGGAGGCTAAATTTTACTCTTACTCCAACTCCGATCTGACTTCAATATTCAACCTTCGACTCTGACTCTGATTTAACTGGACTTCGTGTTTTTTTCGGTTATTCAATTATTTCAATATACTTTGAGAATTTGGGCTATTTGGGCCTTTTGTAATCCACATCCACTGTCAGCACGACCCACACCCAAATCCATAATCTATTGAAGTTGGAGTCAGATAATTAGTCAGAGTCGGACATTTGTCAAAGTCGGATTTGTTTCTCTGGTTGTTTGTAGGATCCGGCTTTGACCTTCCTCCGACTTAGAGTCAGATTATTTTTAACGTAGTCGGACTCGGATTACTTTTTTCTCGGACTCAAAGCAGATTTTTTTCCTCGTATCAGGGCGGAGTAGGGCCGGATCCGGACTGGATTGCCATCCCTACTCACATGGCTTTTTAGTTACTTTATTGGCATTCTTAATTATTACGCTTTTATAAATTTGACAACTCTTGAATAGGAACTAGGAAATAGGCCTTAATATGGTTTACCTACTCTTTGTAATGTAATTTTGCTGCATGATTTGTTAGATTGAAGTCCATGACGTGAGCAAGGAAATGGATTTGGATCTTTTCAAACAAAATTGTCAGGTATTGTCTCATAGACCTTGAAGGCTTGAATTTTGCTTTCCTATTGGTGTAAAATATGACTCAATATATTTCCACCTTTACCTCTAATGTAAGTTCATTTGCAATTTTGAAGATTTATAGTTGTGTATTACATATGTAGGTGGAGAGAATTATTGCTGATAGGATCAACCGAGATAGCTCAGGTGAGGTGACTCCTGAGTATCTGGTGAAGTGGCAAGGATTATCTTACGCAGAAGCCACCTGGTATGTTTTTGAGCTCTGTTTATTGGGTGTGTGTGTGTGTGCGTGTGCGCGCGTGCGCGTTTGCTGTACAAATGTTTTGAAAACAACTTCTATTATAGTTGAGGTAGTGTGCATAAAAGTGCATTTTGATCTTCCAATAACAAAGCTTTCTAACATGGTATTTTCTTTGTTGCTGTTTTTTTTTTCCCTTCACATGCATATGATATCTGGTCAGACTGCTTTACAGATTGTTTTGCTTCATTGGTTGTAATGTCCTGCTGTTCCCCTGGATGCCTATGGTTTTTACTGATTGAACTAAAATTTACACATTGTATCTTTTTGTAATTATGAGTTACATGTTATTGCAGGGAAAAAGATGTAGATATTGCATTTGCTCAGGAAGCTATTGATGAATACAAGGTAAAGTATTCAGGGCACTGTGCTTCTTTTCCTCTTATGTATTTTTTTTCTTTCACATCATTTCTCTTCTTGGTTAGTATGGGTTTGTGTGCTTGTAATGCTTGGACTATGTTGCTTTATCGTTGCGCCAGATGGATGTACAATGGTTATATATGGGTCAATAAAGAAGTCACAAGCCGATTTGTGTATTGAACCCTCATAGTATTATTTTGGTTGCCTCATAATTATGTAACAGTAGATTACATTGTGGATTGTGTGTTTTTGGTCAACATAAGTGTTCTAATTATATCACTGGAGTTTGGGTCTATAATTGTGAATTTGAATTGTAGAATTGCTTTTGATGCTGGAAGATAAAAACCGTTTCTATGCTTTTTTCATGGATGATCAACTAGCTTCTTCACGGCTAGTCATGATATGTTTTCATCCTCTATAGATATGAATGACTTGATTGTGGTATAACTGGTATCTTGCAAAAATGTACATATGTAAACTTCTGCATGGTACCCATTTGTTAGATCCGAAAACTCCAAAATTTATATGTTACCCTTTTCTTTCAACTATTTACATTTTCTGACAATTCAATGGCTCTACGCTGTGCGCTCTCTTTCCAAAAAATCTTGTATAGAAGCTACTCAACAATTCCACTGGCCTTCCCTCTTACCACTCTCTCACCCCCCCCCCCCTCTTTTTTTCTCATTCGCCAACAACTAAAACCAAAAATTTACATATCCACTATCATCCCATGCCAGTTTCACCAATTCTTTTTCTCTCTTTCATCTTTGTCCACAGTACCAGCTTCAATAAAATATTTATTGCTGCTGTGATTAAGACCATGGTTTTGGACTTTTTGGTCACTGAATAGAGTGAAAATTGCCAGCAGTTCTAGATCTAGGCAGCCAGTCTGACTAGCTAGGGTCAAATATAGCCTATCATCACCACTAAGAAAGGTTTCCTCCTCTTTCCCTCCTTCCCCTGATTTGTGTTCTGGTTGAGAGGTGGTGAAGAAGTTGATGGATGTGGTGTGGTTGCTGGTTTAAAGTGCAGACTATTGATGGGGATGATTATGGCTATAAAGGGGAAGTGTTGAATGGCTACCATGGGGTGTGGTGTTAGGGATGGTTATCTTTGGTATGGGATGGGTGTGAATGATTGTTTATGAGCAGTTGTTTGTGGTTTTGTGGTGAATAGTGGAGGTAGCGATGCTGGTGATGGAATGCTGAGGTGGGTTGGGTGTTGTTGAATTGGTGGCTTGGTGGGAGAAAAGGAGGAGAAGGATGGTTTTGTTCTCCTTTTCCTTTTTGTGAGGTGAGTGGTATATCTAGTTATTTCAGCTATGTGAGTATGTGACATGAGTTCTTAAATAAATAGTTCACGGAAATTGGACTGAATATTCCGGTGTAAAATTGGTTGCAATTGATATGGTGCCAGATAAATTTCAAGAAATTTTGGTACCATATTGAATTGATCATATGATTATCTCTCGTTGGTTTGTTGGGTTAGGAATTTGTAATGCTTGATGGTAATATTTGTTCTGCATGTGGCACTTTGTTATTTTCACAAAAAAAAATCTTTATTTGTGAATTTAGTGTCTTACTTTGTTATTTTTATATGTGCATAATTTGATTGTTCTTTATTATATGTCGTGCTTTGATCAGGCTCGTGAGGCCACTATAGCGGTGCCGGGAAAAACAGTGGATGCACAGCGTAGGAAGATTAGAGGTATGACATCTTCAATAAGTGCTTCTTGTTTTCATAAATGAAGCTAATTCTTGCTACAATTTTTTTGTAGGTGCATGATTTTTGGTTTTATATTGTAAGAAGTGGTTGTGTTCTGGTTGATGCTGTCAAGTACTTCCTCCGTTTGTTTTAATCGCAACGTTTGAAATTTACACTATTCACTCATTTGATCGTCTTTTAAGATTTATATGTTGGAAAAAATATAGTTGTGTGGGTTTTTGTTAGATTTGTCTTGAAATACACTTTCTTAATATGAACTTTTTATATATATTTTTTTTACTAAAATTCAACTTAAGATATTTAAGTTATAAAATCTGCATTGACAAGCGTGAAATCCCCAATGTTGCGATGGAATAAATTGGAGGAAATATGCTGTTACAGTATTCCTTTTTATGTAGTTACTTTGGATTTAATTTCATTATGGTGTTAGCACAAACATTCCCTTCTACCGTTCTACATCGATATTTTTTGCTGTGTAGGAAGTTTGCGGAAGCTGGATGAGCAGCCTGAATGGCTGAAAGGAGGAAAACTACGTGATTATCAGCTTGAGGGCCTGAACTTTCTTGTTAACAGGTACGGAGTGATCTTATGTAGTTTTCAGTGTGACTTCTGAAATTTTTTAATTATTTTTTGGTTAAGCAACTTTTTTTATTTAACGATTCTTGATCGGCTTCAACGTGAATTAGCTTTTCCTCTTCTTTCCCCACATATTAGAATAATTGAAGGCTCTTTGAACTTGTTATTGGACCTTAAATGTCAATTTGTGGCCTTTTTGCCTTCATGTCATCAACTTGGTTTTGGGGGGTGGGGGCGGCGTATTATCTTATCCTGTTGGGGAACTGGGGAATATGACAGTGCTCTTTTAGTTCATTGTAATAGGTTAATTTTATGTAGATGATGTGGTTGAACATCTGTAAATATTTTGCTGTACTGGGGCATGAAATGTTAATTTAGCTCATGTCTGGTTGAGCATACGGTGAATATATACTGCATGCGTAATGTGCGAATCCTCAGAACAGGCAAGTCCTTCAGAGGGCTTTTAACACGCAATTGAGCTTGAGTTGCCTTTCTGTTCCAGTTTGTGAATAAACTATTTAAGTCATGATACTATTACAAATTATTTTGCAGTCAACTGGCCAACTAGGTTTGTATTTGTTTTGGGATGCTTTGATATTGTTTATTTTATTTTAAATTTTTTATTTAACTTTTTCCCCTTGTGTTTATGGGGAATGAAATTGTCATTTAAAACTGCTTTGTAGCTTTTTTACTTGCAATGATTGTTGCCACTTTCTTGTTACAGCTGGAGGAATGATACTAATGTCATTCTAGCTGATGAAATGGGTCTTGGCAAAACTGTTCAATCAGTTTCTATGCTTGGTTTCTTACAGGTAGAATTTTGTTTGTATATGTTCAATGAATTTGCTTCCATTTTTCCAATCAAATTTGTAACTGGTGTTTTGCCTTTTTGCAGAATGCCCAACAAATTAATGGTCCATTTCTTGTAGTTGTACCATTGTCTACCTTATCCAATTGGGCAAAAGAATTCAGGAAATGGCTTCCAAGTATGAATGTTATAGTTTATGTTGGAACCCGTGCTAGCAGAGAGGTGATTATAGCATGATTTTTATTTCTTCTTTTTTTTTTTTTTCCCTTGGCAGAGTTTTTTATTTTTATTTTTTTTGTGTTCTTCCCCCTTTTGTTATGTATCTGATTCTACTTTATGAAGAAGGCATTGATCCTTTGTTAATTGTCGCGTTTTGGGATGTTTACCATTGTGAATCATATCTTTATATTTAAAGCAGACGCAATTTATTGTTACAGCCTATTTGCAAACCTATGTTGCCAGTACTTTTTAGTAAGGGAAGGGTTTTTATGGTTTATGTATTGTGTTTTATATGGTTACACAGTGGGTGCTTGTTTTTCTTTCACTTGCAGTAGTCTGTATTATGTGATTATCTGATGTAAATTTATTAACAATGTCCCTGTCCCTACTTTATTAGAGTAAATTGCTTAATTTTTTTCTTTTTATTTGTTTTGTTTTGTTTTGTGGAAGAGACACTAAAGGAAAGAATGTATGTTGTAAAAGATTAGCCTCCAAGATATATAGAAATCAATCCATCAAAGCCTTAATCCCATAAGTGGGGTCGGCTTTCAAGATATGTAGAAGTATTGAAACCAAAATAAATAGGGACAATGTAGTACCATCTGCCAGATACGGCAGGGCTAAGTGTAGACGACCTGTTTTTTTTTTTTAAAAGATATGAAACTTGAATTTAAACCTTATCTACTTACCTTTTGGACCCTGGCCCTTTCACTGCAAAAATTGATCTTTTTCCAAAAGTTGTATACTTTCCTTGTGTCTCTTTTCAGACACCTTGTAAACATCAAAGGATGATTAGGGGGAAAAAAATGCATGCCTCCTTAGATGGAATAAGCCCAATAATTTTTTTCATTATTGGATAATGCCTTGATCTTATATGTTTTTGAATATATGGGTTGTTTTGTTTTCTTTCCATGGGTAATACTTTGTATGAGTCTACTGTTTCTGGGTGGTTCCATGTTTCGTGTATCCATTTCTAATCGGTTTGGAAAATTCTAGTCTGTTTTTCCCATAGCTCTTCCTTTTGTTTGATGTTAAAAAGACCTTAGTTCTTCGTATTGTAATGTTTGGAAGATTTTAGTACCTGATTATTTTGTTTAATGTATAGCTGGAAGTTCTGGCTGTTTTGCATGTAATGTAATGGTGGACTGTTCCATTCTCTGATTTGCAGGTTTGTCAGCAGCATGAGTTTTACAATGAAAAGAATACAGGCAGAACGATTAAATTTGACGCCTTATTGACAACATATGAAGTTATTCTGAAGGATAAGGCAGTGCTGTCAAAGATCAAGTGGAGCTATCTAATGGTTGATGAGGCTCACCGGCTGAAAAATAGTGAAGCATCACTATACACTTCTCTCTTGGTATGCCCCGTTTGCCAAATATTGTATTGGGTTACTTTTATATAAACTTATTGTCTGTTCCTTAATTTTTGGCAGGAATTTAGCACGAAGAACAAGCTGCTCATTACTGGAACTCCATTACAGAATAGTGTAGAGGAGCTATGGTAATTATATAATTATTGAAGATATTTCTGCCTTTGTGGATGCTTACTGTATTCTTGTCATGCAAATTAGTATAGCACCCAATAGAATTACATGGAGAATGAAAATAAATTGTGTTGTGGTAGAGGGGGAGAGAAGAGTGGTGAAGGCATTTATTAAAGCTTGTTAGATATACTTGTTCATTCCAGTCATATATATGGGAAATTCATCTATTTTCTTTAAATCTGATATTGGATTGAATCATTGCAAGTGGCTGATACAACGTGGACTGTGGAGTGGATTATTGATCACTACAGGAGCTCTTATTCTCTGGGTGTAGGTGATAACATATGGCTTAAAAGGTTTTGTTTCTTTGAGGCCATGTTACCCTTTTTATGACTTAGGCCCTGTTTGATTCACCTTAATTTTTTTGAACTGAAATTATTTTTACTGAACTGAACTTATTTTTACTGAACTGGAATTATTTTTATTGAACTTAAATTATTTTTATTGAACTGAAATTATTTTTACTGATTTTCTATTATAATTCTTCTTTAAGAAAACTGAATTTTACTGAACTGAACTTATTTTTACTGAACTGAAATTATTTTTTACTGAACTGAAAATAATTTTACTGAACTGAACTTATTTTTATTGAACTGAAATTATTTTTACTTATTATTATTTTTTTAAGGTGAAGAGAACAGGGCCTTAGATCTCAGCTCCTGAATGACTTTTGTGATATGTTGTTAATAGAGATGAAAATGAAAATTTGAATTTTATCTTTGTGTAATCATTCTATTGTTTGGACCAACATTCAAACCCTTTTTTGTCTTTTTATTAAAAAGTTAATAAGAATTATTGCTTGATTGTTTAGATTAGGAGTAATTTTAGGGAGTCAAAACCCTAATAAATTAATCTTGTGAGAGTTGGATTAGTTCTCTTTCTAGATCTAAGTTTTTTTTTTACAGCTATTTGACGTCGGTTATTGAACAATCCAGTCAGTTATTCCAACTTCCTTTAAAGCTCCATTAGCTGAATTAAGATATGTCTCAGCCTAAATATGGGGGTTCTTTCTTCCATCTGCAGTAGGCTTTATAAGGAAACAGATGGGTTACTTTTTGAATAAGTTCTAACAGCTGCCTACATTACAGTCATAGCTATTGTTTGTCTTATGCCTTAGCTTAAAGGCATCTGTGTGCGAGGAGTGCAGATGTGCGTGATAAATTGTCTCAAATAACTTGAGCACTGTGATCTACAACACATACCAGTATGCACTCACCCCCAGCTGTCTCTAGCGCTGTCTTGTAAGCTTCTAGGGAAGAAGTGATTTCAGATAATACAAAAATTTTAGATAATATAAGAGTACGATGAATATAGGTTAATTGTATTTTGTATGAGGCTTTCTGTTATGGACTGGCTACAAGGAGTCAACACCGCAGGTCAACCACCACTTTTGGTGTATACGAGGCGCGCTAAATTGGGGCAGCAGGGGTCAATAGTTGACAGCAACAAGAAGCAACATGACAAGGCTAATTAAAGAGTAGTCTCGGGAAGGGAAGCAGCCCTCTTTAATCATGCCCTCTATGGGTTTCTATTTTAGTTAATTAAAATCACATGTTTGATCTAAGTCTTGAGTATATGTATGGTAGTAGTAGCATTAGCAAGAATCATCCAGAAATTTGTGAGTTAACATTAGAGAGACTTGTAGCCTCAAGCTACTAGAGAGAGTCATAACCTCAAGTTATGTTTACCCCTTTATAATCATCCTTCAGTCAATCAAAATACTCAAGCTTTCATTCTCTATTTCTAATTTGCTTGTGCACACTACAATAGTCGAATTCAGTACATAACACTTTCATACCGCAATATGTCCCAAATCCGCCATTTTATTGCTTTTGCTTTAACTTGGCTTTAGATTAGAAGCCTTAATTTAATTAATCCCTGAGGTACTGAGTCAATCAAAACTGGTGGTTTCTGGTCAAGTTGGCTGAGTAGCCTTGGGAAGCTCTTTAATGTTTGCGTGGGTAAAAGAGAAGTTCACTAGGAGGACTGTTGGTCCTCTGGAGTCAGTTGTCATGCTATAAGTAGAGTGCAGTGATGTATCCTAACAGACCCACAGGCATGAACCTTGTTCCTACATGGCCCGATCAACTCGATCAGGCACTTGCCATCGAATCCATTTTCATTGTTAATTCTTTGACAATATGAAAAAACCATCGGTCTCTTTGACAACATGAAAAATCCAGAAATCCTGCCCTTCCTTTCTATCTATCTTATCCAAGAGATAGAATATGTGAAAACTGGTGGCTTGCAGTAAACTTGGCTGAGTAGTCTTGGGATGCTCTTCAAAGTGTGCCTGGGTAGGTGAGAAGTTTACTAGGAGGCCTGTTGTTGGTTCTTTGGGGTCAGCTGTCACTTCCAAAGGAGGGAGTTTTAGGCTTGGTAAAGTCCTGAGAGACCTACAAAGGGGAGAATAGGATCTTGTTTATTATTCTACCATGGTTTCCTGAGTGATAATATCCATTTGGGGTTCTGGAATCAGTGGCTGTTGTTAGACCTATTATTAGGTTTATGAACAGATTCTCTGATGAATGCTAAATACTTCCTGGAAAGACATTTTTCTGAGAAGAAGAATCTGCTCACTTATATAGTTGGCATAAACTATGCCTTTATTTATTTATTTATTTATTTATTTTTATTTATTTTAATTTTTTTTTTTAATTTCTGGGAAATAATAAATGTCTCCTTTGCAGTCTTTTGGAAATGGATACCCAATGCCTTGCCTTTGTGAAATTAGCGCTGGTTTAATTTATTGATTATTTCCTGGTTGAATTAACTGTTGCCTTGTTTTGATCACAGGGCTCTGCTTCATTTCCTGGATCCTGATAAGTTCAGGAATAAAGATGTATTTGTTCAGAACTACAAAAATCTTAGCTCATTTAATGAGATTGAGGTTAGATTACTTTTGGTAAATTCTTTTTGTTTCAGTTATAATGATTATAAAACTGTATTTTGATCCTAAAAAGTTTTGCTGGAATTTTGCTAGCTTGCAAATCTTCACATGGAGTTGAGGCCTCACATTCTCAGGAGAGTTATTAAGGACGTGGAGAAATCTTTGCCACCTAAAATTGAACGAATTCTTAGGGTTGAAATGTCCCCATTGCAGAAACAGTGAGTACTTAACCCAGTGTTCTTTTTTCTTCTTCGTTTCTTTTATTTTTTTGTTTCAGTCATCTGCTGTTCTTTTATTATTTTTTGTACATTTTAATGCTCTTATGCCTTGCATATAGGTATTATAAATGGATTTTAGAACGCAACTTCCATGACTTGAACAAAGGAGTTAAGGGAAATCAGGTAAGTTGTCTTCATTGATGTTTTTCGTATAGCAGATGTCAAAGATGTTATGTCTTTTACCATAGCACATTTCTTATGGCTACATGTTGAATTAATTGACTTTTAGCCTCTTAGTAATTTCTGATAGGAATTTATATTGATTGTGCAGGTTTCACTGCTGAATATTGTGGTGGAGTTGAAAAAGTGTTGCAATCATCCATTCTTATTTGAAAGTGCTGATCATGGCTATGGTGGGGAGTCTAATGATGGAAGCAAACTTGAGCGAATGATCCTTAGTAGTGGCAAACTAGTGATTCTTGATAAGCTGCTTGTAAAATTGCATGAAACAAAACATCGAGTTCTTATATTCTCACAGGTTTCTTCTGGAATCTTTTTGTAGTTTTTAAATTATTGTTTTTTTTTTTTTTTTTTTGGGGGACATTTTTCTTCATCATCTGTTTTGAAGTTGCTTATTTATGTAGCTGTTTTATCATTTCTTTGCAGTACTGCTGATTTTAATACATTGTGTTAAATTCTTGATTATCTGTGGTTTGCATCTCATATGACTAGTATGAACTTTGTGTATCACTGCATCTTCATACAGACCTATTAAGTTGGATGTTTGGCTACATTATATCTTGTGTGATCTAAAGCTGTTGTCAGGGAGTCACAGAATGAGTGAAACTGTGTACCACCTGGTATCGAAGTATTTTGTGTAATTTTGCATGAAATGTCCTCCCCCCCCCCCCCCAAATTCTATTGTATTGTTTATTACTCTGTCCATCCCATAATATTTGCTTGTATTCTTCTTTTGGTGTCCTAAAATGTGGTATCTTTTTTCTAATACATAAATTTGCTTTGGTACATTAGTACCCCAGCTTTTTTCCTTTTTTGCTTACGTATGAACATATCCACAACTTTTTTCTACTATTTACAATTTTTTTTTTGTAACATTTCCTAATATAAAAGTGATAAAAACACCTATGCTGCTTTAACTTTTCTCGTATAAATGACCCCTTTTAAGATTATTAATCCTCGTGAAAAATGAGAAACGGGCACTATATTGTGGGACGGAGGGAGTATCGTGTAGATTTAGGTATTAATGTTTGAAAAATAAGTTTATGGACATGCTATGAATTAACACAGCTTAAGCATCATTAATGGCAGAAAATAGGAAGAATATGGTTTTTGATTAACTGAATTTCAGCACTTTTGTATGATAATTAGGGAGGTGGATTTATCTGAATTTTGCTTTTTAAAGCTAACCCTAAGCATTAATCAATATTCAACATAGTGATATCTTCCTAAATTTCTCTTCTCATAGCATTTCTTCACTAACAAACTCTTTAACTTTTTCCCAGGCTTCTCATAACTAACTATAATGATGCTGTCTAAAACGCCCCTGTCCCCTAAAATCAGTTGATGGCAGAACATTATCATTTATGTGTACTCTTGTTAGCTGACTATACTTCGGCCAGAAAAGAGGAGTTTTTTCGGTTATTTGTATGTTTGTGTCACTCTGAATTCTTATCTTAAACACTTGTAGACTTTTTTTCCTGTTGGATTTACTTGTGTATGCAACTGGTTAATTGGAGATAATTCTAGACTTTTTTCTAAGTCTTGTTTTATATGCAGATGGTAAGAATGTTGGACATATTGGCAGAGTATTTGTCTCTGAGAGGATTCCAGTTTCAAAGGCTTGATGGTAGTACTAAGGCTGAGTCACGGCACCAAGCTATGGAGCATTTTAATGCCCCAGGAAGTGATGATTTTTGTTTCCTCCTGTCCACTCGGGCTGGTGGACTTGGCATAAACTTGGCAACTGCTGACACAGTTATTATTTTTGATTCAGATTGGAACCCTCAGAATGATTTGCAGGTTTTTAACTAGAATACGTGAACTCTTTACCTATTTGTAGAAACAAGAACTTTTTTTTGTAAGAATTCATCCATTTATTAGCAATTTAGAGAACTTAAATCCTGTACAAAAACTCCAGACAAAGGTGAGAACATAAGAAGATATGTTTTTTTATTCAAATTTCAAACAAAAGCAACCTTGTCCTAAGATCTGTAGAACTTGTCTTGGTAACTATATTTTGGACTGTTTCTATCATTGCTTCTGTAATCTCCTCTTTATCTCTCAACTTCCTCTTTTACTTGATTCTTTGCTGATTTTTATATTTTCCATTGTTGTGGTAGGCAATGAGTAGAGCTCACAGGATTGGGCAGCAGGAAGTTGTTAACATATACCGTTTTGTAACAAGTAAAAGTGTTGAAGAAGATATTCTTGAAAGGGCAAAGAAAAAGATGGTAAATGATGACTCTTATTTGGTCCTTGATGATGGTATATTTTCGTACTTACAGTTTTAAATTTTATTTGTGTCGTCTCCTTGTTATAGGTCCTTGATCATTTGGTGATCCAGAAGCTAAATGCAGAGGGTAGACTAGAGAAGAAAGAGGCGAAAAAGGCAGTTACCTTTGACAAAGTAAGATGAGTAACTTCTTATCTTATTGATTACTTTAGCCTTATCTTTGTCTCCTTCTTTATGTTTCCTTGGTATTTAAATTTTGACTTTTTAGTTTCTGTATTTTATTGTTCGTCTTTAGTTTGCTACTTATCTTTGAGACTGTCTGATTTGACATCTTCTGTCTCTGTAGAATGAACTTTCAGCAATACTGAGGTTTGGAGCTGAGGAGCTATTTAAGGAAGAGAAAAATGAGGAGGAAAGCAAAAGAAGACTTTTGAGCATGGATATAGATGAAATTCTCGAGAGAGCAGAGAAGGTTGAGGACAAGGGAACTGAAGGGGAACAAGCCAATGAGCTTCTCAGTCAGTTTAAGGTATGATCTGATGTTTCATTTTTCTGATGAAGCTCCTGTGCATCTTTAGGCAATGAATTTAAAATAATATTGGGGGAAAACATATGTAGGTTGCAAATTTTTGCAATGCTGAAGATGATACTAGTTTCTGGAGCCGTTGGATAAAGCCAGATGCTGTTGGGCAAGCAGAGGTTCAATTTATTGCATTGTGTACTTTATTATTTGGTGGCATTTTACTACAAATCCTTTATATGTTTCCTTATAAAATTGATATATGCAGGAGGCATTAGCTCCTCGAGGAGCAAGATATACTAAGAGCTATGTGGAGCCTGTCCAACCCGATGGTAGCAACAAAAGGAAAAAGAAGGAAGCTCCATCAGTGAGGGCAAATACAAAGCGTCGTAGAGGTGAATCATCTCATATGGTCCCAATGATTGATGGTGCTTCAGCTCAAGTAAGAGATTGGTCTTCCGGAAATTTGCCAAAGAGAGATGCAACACGTTTTGCAAAGGCTGTAAGATTCATATATCTGGCCTCCCTAGTTTGAGTTATGGTCTTATGGATTGTAGATTTATTTGTTAGAGGGAATTCAATTATTCCCTATATTCAGTATAATTTTGTTTTGGAGGAGGGGTGGTGGAAAAAGGGGCTGAGTTTTTGTGGGCATCCCATTACATTTGTGTTCCTTTGATGAGATTTTGCTAATATTTAATCTTATTGGTCTGATGGATTAGGTTATGAAGTTTGGTAATGCAAGCCAAATAGACTTGATTGCAGCTGATGTTGGAGGTGCTGTTGAAGCAGCTCCAGTCGATTCTCAGATTGAGCTTTTTGATGCTTTGATTGATGGGTGTCAAGAGGCAGCTAAAGAAGAAAAGATCGATCCCAAGGTATATATTAATGTAAATTATAAAGGCAAAGCCTATTCAATTTTGTTATGGCTGTCTCTTGGCTGTGGGGGGCTTGCTTATGTTTTTATGTTAATCTGCAGGGTCCTCTTTTGGATTTCTTTGGTGTTCCTGTGAAGGCTAGTGATATGGTAAATCGTGTAGAGCAGCTTCAACACTTAGCCAAGCGGATAGGTCGTTATGAAGATCCCGTTTCGCAGTTCCGAGTGCTGAAGTACCTGAAACCTGCAAATTGGTCAAAAGGGTGTGGGTGGAATCAAAGTAAGCAAATAGTATGATCTATCCTGTCTAGGTTTTTTTTTTTAATAATTAAATTTTTTTCTGTTCATGTTTTTGTGAAATATGTGATTTGTCTAACCTGATGTGCTACTTGTTAGTTGATGATGCAAGATTGCTTTTGGGCGTGCATTATCATGGTTTTGGCAATTGGGAAAAAATTCGGTTAGATGAAAGGCTTGGTTTAACAAAAAAGATTGCCCCAGTTGAGCTTCAAACACATGAAACTTTTCTTCCGCGGGCTCCCAATCTGAAGGATCGTGCTTTGGCACTACTTGAAATGGTATTTGAACTTTGATTAAGAAAACTGTACTGATCTTGATGTGTTTTTTTTATACTACCTCCGTTACAGGTTATGTGCAACGATTAGACATTTTTCCTCTCTGCTTTATGTCAAATCGTTGCACATAACCTGTAATGGAGGTAGTATATATATTTTTATCTCTATTATTGGTTCATTCTTTGTGTTTCCCGTTGTGTGTGAATGAATGTAATGCTGTTGTTATTCATTAAAATCTTAGGAACTTATGTATAAAGTTCGTTTATGCATTGTCCAGGAAATTTCTGCTGTTTCCGGGAAAAATTCTAATCCTAAGGGGCGCAACAAATCTTCAAAAAACATGGAGAATCTTCATAATGTAGCAAAACCTCGTGGCCGAGGGCGGGGGAGGCCGAGCTCACCCAAGCTTAACCAGATGGATAAAAACAGGTCCCAAAGATCCCAGAAAGTAGAACCTTTAGTTAAAGAAGAAGGAGAAATGTCTGATAATGAAGAAGTTTATGAGCAATTCAAGGAAGTGAAATGGATGGAATGGTGTGAAGATGTCATGATGGAAGAGGAAAGGACTTTGAAACGTCTTCAGAAGCTGCAGACTACTAGCGCTGCCCTTCCAAAGGAGAAGGTTGGTCTGTCAACTTTTGCAATGTCAATGAACTTGATGTCTTTGAAGCTAACTTCTGTCTTTTTTGTAACCCTGTTCCCTTCTTGGTACAGGTACTCTCAAAGATCCGCAAGTACTTGCAACTTATTGGCAGGAGAATTGACCAAGTAGTTTTTGAACACGAGCGTGAACCACATAAACAAGATCGTAAGTTCAATTGCTTTCTGATAATTTTGTTTTATATTATTTTCATTTGTGCAATCTGGCATCCTTTGAAACTAAGAGAGTATTCTGGGGCCAGGGCTAGTTTGGGAGCTCTATGAAGTGTGTGCTACTCATCATCACTGCTCTTCAGTTGTTTCTGGATTTAGTTTTTTCGAGTGATATTTTAAATCTGATGATCTGATCCTAACTTTTTCCGTTTGTTAGGAATGATGATGCGTTTATGGAAATACGTTTCAACCTATTCTAATTTGACTGGGGACAGATTGTGTCAAATTTATTCCAAATTGAAGCAGGAACAGGAAGATGAAGCTGGGTTGGGGCCGTCCCACATCAATGGAAATAACGCCTTTCAGCGTCAGTCAGCTAGACTGAAGGGACTACAGAACAATAACTCTTATCAAACAGGTGAACCGGGTCTCAAACTCCATGATCCAGCAAAGTTTGAGGCATGGAAACGGAAGAAGAGAGCTGAGACAGATGCTTTCTTAGAGGCGGAAGACCCTTTTCAGAAACCTTCGAGTAATGGTCAGAGATTGCCAGCTTCAAATTCTTTGGGAATATTGGGTGCGGCACCAGCTGACAGCAGGCCTTATAATAATGAGAGGCCATACAAGATACGTCCAGGCGGTTTTCAACAGAGGCAGGGTTTCTCATCAGGTATTAGGTAGCTGTCTAAATGGAGGTGGACTGAATCCTGTTAGGTATCAGGAAATATTTCAGATGGCTCTTTTGCCACCTGATGGGGTCTTGCCCTTGCAGCGACTAGCCCCTCAAAATTTTATTGGGCTGTGGGGATAATAATATACTATCTGTTGTCAAAATGGCCAACGCTAAGCCTTGGCATGCCAGATAGAAGCGTCCTGGTTTAATGGTTTGAAAGTGCAATCATCTAAACTTTTGACATAAGCAGTGACAAGAAACACAGACAAATGAAGATGTATTCAAGTCCTGGCAAAAGCTGTGTTTTGTTTTTTCTTTTAGATAGAGACCAGCAATTTTCTTACAAGTATATCTTAAAGTAGAGAAAGAAATGTAGAGAGGTCTTTAACCTAGTTTCTTTGTAATCTACCCATACTGGGTGGATACTGTATTTAGTACTTACCGAAGTTAGCGAGCCTTCAGAAATGTACATTATTCAGTTTTGTTATCAAAATCAATTTTGGTTACTGCAAGCAGCTTGTAGATACTTTTTGATTGATGATAAAAGTTTACATTCTCATTTATACAACATTGAGATTGATTACTTTAGTTTTTTGTTTTGCAATTGTTCTGTTGCTCTCTTTTTCTAACCCATTCACATCAATGAATATCTGCTGTAATATTTGTTTTTATACACCATTACTGCTAACTGTGCTTTTCTCTGTTGTTTTTCCTTCACCATCTGTATCTTGAGTCAGATGAAGACCTTTTTCTTAAGATGGTGAAATTTGATCGCTCAAGGTGCATCGCCAATGTGAGGTAACAGTGCACATTCCATTCTTGTCACATTTTTGGTATTGAGGATAGGAAATCATTTACAGATTTATTTTGTTGAATGCAGCTGGTTTATTGCCAGATTCTTGAATCTCCTGTATATTACTTTGATTGAATTTACGCTGATGCTTCCATTTGCTGAGGGCCTGATTGCCCTGATGTTCAAAGTGAATCAAGGTCTGAATATTCGTGCGTGATGATTCTCTTGCCATTTTTTGATCTGGACGTCACTTAAAGGTCAGTTCATGCTAAACAGCTTAAGTATGATTCTTAATGGAGTCTACCTTATACAGGTTATCTAGAATCCTAAGCTGTGTTTGACAAGAGAGCTGTCACTTGGACTCAGGTGGTGCTCATGTGAGACACGGGTATGTGTCCAAGCGTCGTACTGGGTTATTTTATGAAAAATGTCCGTATGTTGGCCTATTGTTTAGAGTATCATCTGTCTAGGGTAGAAGAAATGAGCTTCTGCAAGTGAAATTGAGAGTACGAGAATCTAGGCCAAAATCATGTATTAGGGAATCTTTGTTACATGGGCAAGTTTAAGCTAAGTTTACTACTAGCATTAATTCATGAACTTCAGTGTTTATTAGTCAAGTGAGAATTATAGAACTTCAAAAACATGTTTCAGACCAAGGGAACTAAATAGATTAATAATTGGTTACCAATTAAGATCTTTATTTTTTGATGATATCCTTTTCTATGCAATTAAACTGATTATCAATTTTTTTGTAAGTATTTGCAATTTGGTCACTCATGTACTGCTGGCGAAAGCGCGGACTTTGGATGTATGTTTGATAGCCTAATGTTTTTGACATTGCTAAGATGAGGCTCTGGAGGAATGAGCCAAATGATCACACGTCCCCGGTGTTTGGTTTGTTGTTCCTCTATAATATAAGTACAAATCTAGAGAAGAAGAAGGAACAAGAATCCACATCATAGGAAAACACATTGGAGCTTGTGTGGTAGTTGCCTTCCTGAGAAGATTGTGGTTGATACTTCGTTATCTTGTTATCTATTACTTAGCTTTCTCAGCCCCAAAATAAAATCAAATTAGATAAATAAAGGATTCTACATTATGTAAAATTTAATTTTGCACTTTTTACAATTTTGGGAGTTTTATGCTTCAACTTTATTGATGTGTAAGGTTATTAGCCTTATTGTTGAGTTAAGTGATTAAGCATTTTAATTATTATTGTTTTAAAAAAATGCCTGAATTAAGTGGTTTTTTGTTGATCATAGGAAGTATGTTTGTTGGAATCATTGATACACATTTCTCAATTATTAGTTATACGGTATATTTAGTCTAATATATTAATGTTTAATGACTCAATTCGTGTTGGGTACTTTGAAAGTTCAATTTAGTTCAAACAGGATAGAAGAAGCATTTAAAAAAGGAAAATGTTATACATAACCCTTAGGGCTATGTAGGGCTACATATAAGCATTAAATTTGATAGAAAAAAAAAATGGAAAACGATAGAAGTGTGCATGAAAATTAAAAATTGAAAAAAAAAAAAAATCATTATCATGCATTTAAAATGAACAGCTACAACTTTAATTGAGTAACTACACTCCAAATCTCCAATGTGCAATAAGGCAGTGAGAGATCTTATCTCTAATATTTCGCCAACTTAGATTATGTCTAATCGTCTGTTCCAACTTATTTCGTGAATTTATTAATTTTATGTATAAGAATCATACCGAATTAAATTAGACTTGAATAATTTGGGCAATATAAATTTTCATATCTACATTCAAATATTGCCAGATATCTAGGATAATATTGTAATAATTTTAATAGTAATATAAATTGTTGATACTTGATACACATAATTTCTTCCAAATATTAGACTACATATATAGTCAAAGTTTACTCAAATTAAAAGATACAATACTATATATTACTTCCGATTTTTATTACTCGCAACAAAGGAATTATATTTGTGAGTAATAAAATATTTTTTTGTTGCGAATAATAAAAACTGGAGGTGATATAAAATATAAAATATCTAGACCAGAACAATTTATTTCAATTTTTTTGACTTGGAAGTGTAATTTTTTTATTTCTTGATAATATAGTTGTGCTCTATTTTAAGAGCTGATGTAAGCAATTTTCGGCCGCAAAGGTTGGAAGAAGGAGAATCCTTATCTGCCACGTTTTAAGGATATGGCGTGGGATCCACCTCAGTGTACGTTGATTAATATCATATCCTTCCTATAAAAAAAAATTCATTAAAATGGTGGTTTATATAATATTCTAAATTTTGTGTTTTTTCTTTTATAAATTATAATATTCTAATTTTTGTGTGTTTTAATTGGCATGCCCCAACTTTCTTGGGTTGTTTAGTACTTATATCAGTCAGTTTTCTCTGCATCCTACTACATCATTTGGGAATTTGAAGCAAGATTTTCTGGTAATCATGCCTTTGACTTCTGTTTTTGCCTTTTTGCTACTTTTAGTAATCTTACATATAGTCCTCTTTATGTTTTAATATCAATTTGTAAATATCCTACTACTACTACTACTAGATGTTTTGATAATTTTTCTACTAGGAAAATCTCGGAATAGTTTAGTGGTATTCAGGCTGAACCGAGAATTTTATACTTGTTGATAAGATTACGAGTTTAAGTTCTAAGTTGAACAGAGAATTTTATACTTGTTGATAAGATTACGAGTTTAAGGAACTTTCATTATGTAAGCCATTTGTAGGATGTATATATATGTTATCAATGAAATAGTATCCTTTGTGTTTGTGTATAAAATTCTATTCAAAGTGCTTTACTTTGAGACTTTTTCTCATGTATAGTTATGAATCGACCAAATAAGTACACTTTATATTCTAAAGTCAACTTTTTGATGATATGAACTATGAAGTTGATGAGTGGATGCTACTTTAGTTCTTAAATCTTAGGAGGGTTTGTATATATACAAATTGCAAGTAAATAAAAACTTCTCTAGCAATTGGTTTTGCAGTTTCAGTGACTTAGTTTAACTATAGTTTGATATTTTAGTTAAGAGGAGGAGAAGATGGACTACATGAATGGGCCAGGAAGACATCATCTCTTTGTTCCGGGACCTGTCAATATCCCGGAACCTGTCATTAGAGCTATGAATCGAAACAACGAAGATTACCGTGCACCTGCAATTCCAGCACTGACAAAATCACTTCTTGAAGATGTCAAGAAAATTTTCAAAACTACCACAGGAACCCCATTTATGATCCCCACTACAGGTACTACTGTCATTTTTTTTACTGTAAACTGCAGGCATGTTTTTTTGAATTTTATTTGTTACTGCATGACTCAGTTACTCAGTAGACCTAGATTTAGTGCTTGTATACTATCTTTGTACCATAAGGTATGTAGCATAGATAGTTGTATGAAACTACCCTTTAATGGATAATACAGGAAAAAAAAAAAAGTGCTTGAACCTGTTACATCTTTGTAATATTGATGCTTGAACCATAATATTGAAAATTTTCAATGGGTTTATCAGTTATAATTAATGCTTACTGTATGGCTCTTTTACAGGTACTGGTGCATGGGAAAGTGCACTGACAAACACCTTATCTCCTGGAGACCGAACTATATCCTTTCTGATTGGGCAATTCAGTTTGCTATGGATTGATCAGCAGAAACGCCTTGGCTTCGATGTTGATGTCATAGAGAGTGAGTGGGGGTATGGTGCCGACCTTGAAGCTATGGCATCAAAATTGGCAGCTGATACTGCACACAAAATCAAGGCTATCTGCATTGTCCATAATGAGACTGCAACTGGTGTTACCAACAATCTGGCCACTGTCAGGAGGATTTTGGGTAACTTTTCTACCTCAGATCAGATACATGTTGTAGCTTATATGAATTTTTCAGTATCGATTACATGAAAATCGTTGAATACATTTAATTGATTAATAGTTATCTCAGCCTGCAAAAACTGGTCAGAGCTGTTAGAGATAGATATTGCATGCTTTGTTCTAAGAAAAAAAATTTGGGCTAGTAAAAATAAAATGTAGCCTTCAAGCCGTGCATGATTATATTACATATGCACTATTTTTCTAGGGACTACTTGGATAATTTTTGTCCATTGTTCTTATTTCTTGAATATATGAAAGCTAACTTGAAGATTGTTCTGACTGTTTTCAGACCACTACAACCACCCTGCACTCCTTCTGGTTGATGGAGTGTCCTCGATCTGTGCGCTTGATTTCCGCATGGATGAGTGGGGAGTAGATGTTGCCTTGACTGGCTCTCAGAAGGCTCTTTCTCTTCCGACTGGGATGGGTATTGTTTGTGCAAGCCCCAAAGCTCTACAGGCAAGCAAGACAGCCAAATCTGTCAGAGTTTTCTTTGACTGGAATGATTACTTGAAGTTTTACAAGGCAGGAAGTTACTGGCCTTACACTCCATCCATCCAACTCCTCTATGGTCTTAAAGCCGCTTTGGAACTGATTTTTGAGGAAGGCCTTGACAATGTCATTGCAAGGCATAGCCGCATGGGAAAAGCAACCAGGTATGCCTATTTAAATCCATCCAATAACTGTACTGTGATAACGCCTTTGTTCTTCTCATGTGGAAATCACCATCTTGTCATAATTTGTCTGCGCGAAAAACTTGATTAAGTCTAGCCTGAACTTATCCAAGCTTAAATTTTCCTGAAACTTTTTTTAAAGGTGAAAAGACCAATAGTGAATGCAAATAGAGGATTCTTTCTCAAATTCACTACCATGCTCTTCTGAAACACCCGCAATTGCAC